CAGAAATCCATGTGTAAAATACTTCCCCATTCTTTGGTGCCGTAAGTACCTGTGATATGATGTAATCTGATTGTTGTTTTGCATAGTACCGCTCTGATGGATGAATTTTCCCGATTATCGGTAGTAGTTCTTCATCAGACAACAGTCTGTCAAAAAGATGGACCATAAATTTATTTAACCACCCAAACATACATCCATCAGACCATCACCCACGACACTAAACATAAAATGTATACAAGTACCTGTCACCATCTTTATCAAGCTGGCTAAACAACCGTTTAGCTGGGGACTCCAATGAATCATGAGACGGATGGGAAGAGTTGTGGTCTTCTTCATCATAGTTTCTCACCAAGTCAAAAAGCCCGTGAAAAAATTCCTCAAAGTTAACCTTCCCATCCTTGTCTGTATCTCTTTCCCTGAAAAGGAAAAAGCAGCAGCAAAATTAAGTTGTAATTAGAAGCCACTAGTAGGAATGGAGGATCAAATGCAAATGGGCATGCCTGAAAACGTGAACTGTTTTCTGTTGTTCTTTTTCTTCTTGAACTCAAATTATACAATTTAAGCATGATTCGGTTCTTCTTTTTTTTTACCAATACAGATATCTACAATATCCTCTGGGTAAAAAGAAAGAAATAAAAATAAGGTTACCTCACTTCCTCCTTGCACAGCCAGTTAAGCAGCTTTGGGTTTTTGCTGTCAGACGGATGCAGAAAGCTGGGAAAACACCAAGCAGAAACATTATGGGAGAAGAAAACCATGCAACTACAAATAGCCACTTTTGCTAGGAGTATATCAGTTGAAACTTGCTGTAGAATTTGGTACTTACTCATTGAACTCGGTAACATTCAGTAAACCATCACCATCTGCATCTGATGCATTAAAATGTTCCTCTTTCCACCAGCCCATATCATAGCCAAAAGAATTGTTGTCTGGAAAAGGGAACACAAAATAAGTAATCATCTTTAAAGATGATTATTTGGCAAATTATACACAAATCAATTACCACACTGATGTTTTATACTACAATTCCAAATAAGTCATGATTGAAAGAAAGATAAGACCCTTGAACAGACTGGAACTGTTATAAAGGTTTACTCAATGTTTCTATCACTAGGAACACAAGGAAAGAACAGGTCACAGATGTTTACAATGTTTCAGCTTCTTGCTACTACTATCTCTCAAGAAATCTGAAAATTAACGGGTAAATGAGTTTGCAAAAAGGAACAGAAAGATCAAATTCTTAAACAATATAAGACAACCGGTTTCTATAAAATACATCCATCAAACAATTCAAGCCAAATAACAAATTAGCCTATAAAAACAAACCAAAATCACCAAACAAAAATAGTATAGCAAAAGCACAGAGGATTTGTATCGTTAGATGAGTTAAAATTTAGTTATATAATGGGATAGACCACTAACCATTCTTCACCCAACTAGGAGGCTCATACTCTGCAAACGAAACAAACCCATCATGGTTCTTGTCATGAATTTCCATCTCCCTCATAGACCTATGCAAGACTTCCTTTTCTGCTTGTTGCAGGTTCCACTCGGTCAATTCGTTCTCAGCCACAAAACCATCTGCCGGGTCCACATCAATCTTGGGAAACAGCAATACCAACCTGTTCGTTACATTAAACCTCCACTCAATCAACATGTATCAAAATGTTACTCTCAATGCATTCACAAGAATATAAACACAGGTGCAAGGTTTACATAAACACTGCATCACAATGCAAATATATAAACTGGTACTATCAATTTATATTACCTTGCAAATCATCACAATGTACCACTAAACAATCTTTGACAAAAATAATTAAGCCCACTAATTCACTAGTAACAATAACAAAGACACATAGCATGCCTTCTATGATGCATATGAAAAATACAAAACTTAACTAAATATAGCCATTATCCAAAAAAAAAAAAAAAGTAGTTACCAACAATGACTAAGACCAGTACAAAAATTCACACCTAAACGGATAAAATAAGCATCAATGTGAACAAACAAAATACAGTTACCTCATAAATAGTAGCTATAATCAAGTTTTTAAGCACATTACTTTATGAAAGCATCCGTTTTTAACTAAAATTTGCGGCTAAAACATTAATCAGAACTTCAAACTTTCAAACACTTCATAACAAAAAGTACTAACATGGATTTAGAAGCAAATGAACACCAACCTACTGGTAACATTAAACTTTTCCTCGTCATTCAAGTAATCCTCAGCGTTCATGAAATCCTCCCACTCGGGCTGCGACTCGTGAGCTGGAGCGTGGTCGTCTGTAAACTCAGGATGGGTGTTCTCCAAGTACTGCTTCTCCCATTGTCGGTCTTCACGGCGGCGCTCGATGTCTGCGACGAGAGGGTCAAAAGGAACAGGCTCGTGGCGGGTTAGATTGCTGAATCTGAAAGAAGACCGGAGCTTCAAGCGGCGATGGCGGTTGTGGCCGGAGTGCTTTTTAGGTGAATGTGAGACGAGGAAGAGGACTAGAAGAGCCACAGTGATGTATACAAAGGCTGAAACTTTCCCCATATCAGGAAACTACCCAGAAGTTGATGGAAAATTGTTCTGAGAAAAGCGATCTACTCCTTAGAAAAATCTGAAGTAAGAGAATGTAAACAAGAGATCTGATCTCAAAATTGAAGCAAAGAGAAGAGTTTCGAGAAAGGTTGAAAATTTTGGACCGGGAATTGACGAACAAGAAAGCGATGATTTGGTGGGAGTCCTCGTTTACATGTAGATCTGCTACTGTGATAAATTATTAGGTACGGTCATCCTCATCGTATCAGTCATGGGTTAATCAATAGAATTCGAGCCCAGTAAGAGAATAAATCAGCGCATGTGATTGATTACTCATTTATGCATGCCCAATCCAAATCATAAATCACAGGATAATGTAGTGTTTTTTTATATATTACGACAATTATAATATTAACTGGATTAACTTTTAATTAATATAATTGTCATTTTAATATTCAAATTTTATAATAATAATAACATAATTCAAATTAAAATTTAATTAATATAATAATTATTTTAATAATTACTTTTTTGTTATCAAAATATGAATATTTTTATATATTACATAGAAAAAAAATAAAACTATAATGTTTCACTAATATTCTTTAACATCATATCTGTTAAGTTTGATGAATTTTAACCCGACCTGTTAAAAAAGAATTACGTAGTTAATATATATGTGTGCCCATCCCCGTAAAAAATATTCCTAAATCCACTATTGTCGATGATTATTAATATTTTCAAAAATTAATTATTTTAAGCTTATCACACAAAATTCATTGATTTTATTAGACATAATTGGACTACAAAATTGAAAGAAAAATTTTAAATATATATTTGATACATGAATTAAGTTGATATCTAAGAAAATTTTGCTTTTAAGATATTACCCGAACTTTAATTTTATCTACTATTTTGATATTTTTAATAATTTTTTTAATAAAAATATACATAATGACATTATTACTATCACATGACACAATATTATATTGTTATGTCATCAAAAGTTAACATCTTTAATAGAAGTATCAAAACAATGAATGAAATTAAAATTTACGAATCAACAAGTCTAATGGGATGAGATACTATGTCTCTTAAATAAGGTTAGGGGTTCGAATCCTGACGTTTGCGAATAGAGTAAACTGTGTTAGGAGGATTGTCCTCGCCTCTGCAGTACCCGATCTGAGTTAAAATATCATAAGCGTTTTAAAAGCGATATAACACATCATATTTTGAACTATGAAATTCAAGTTTGAAAAATATGATATTGTTAAAGGAAGCGAATTAAATTCCGAAAGAATTAGTTTTATAGATAGTAAAATTTTAAAAAAAATTAAAAGAAAAGTCAAAACTATGGACCAGTGCAGAGAGACCACATGTGCTTTGTTCGACTCGTTAACTTTGATAATTTAACCACGTGGCAATGTGTGACTGGTTTGTTGTTTTACTTTTACGCGACAACTTGGTGACTTTTTTTCCAAAAATGTAAAGAGGCAAAATCCAAAAAGAATTCCTTTCAATGTCAGAATTCCAAATTAAATCACTATTAATCATAAAAATGATAAACATCGTATTAATATTAAATAGATTTCAATGCATTAATAATTTATATAATATAAAAATTTACATTTAATTATATTTTCTAGGATAAACTATACGCTTAGTACTTAAACTATTACTTTTATTATGTTTTGGTATCCAAGCTTTATCTTTTTCAAAATCATACTTAAAATTTATTTTAGTACTTAAACTATACGCTTAGTACTTAAACTATCACTATTTATCTTTTGTTTGAGTTTATGATTAGGTTTTAAATATTTTCCTCGTATGATCTTTGTGTGATCTTAAGTGACTAATTTTTGTGATTATTGAAAAACGTCTTAATTATGTATTTAAGTTACGATTATTGTTGTAAACTTTTATTATAATCGTATATATTTTCTATTTTTAATAAAACTAGTGATTCTATAAATATATATATGTATAAAGTTTAAAGGATAAACAACAAATTTAGTACCCAGACAATCTTTTTGTTTTGTTTTGGTCATCCAACTATTTTTTATTTCAAAAGCATACATAATGTTACGCTTTAGTTTCATTTTAGTCACTCAGTTAAAAAATTAACAGTGATACTGATGCATCACCATAAGATAATGTCACTTCATTATTGATTTTTTCGAAAATGTCACATCAATAGTTCTGTTAATTTTTTAACGATAAGTGTCTAAAACGAGACCAAAAAATATCATTAGATAGGTTTTTAAAATAAATTATAGTTGGATGACCAAAACATAATAAAAGTGATAGTTGAGTACTAAACGAATAAACGTATAGTTTACCCAAGATTAAATTAATATATAACCAAATTATGGAAGCACGAAGTTTTCTCTCTTTGAAAAAAAAGAGAGTATATATACACTAAAATTTCCTGTTTTTTCCTTCGAGATATATATCTTGTGTGTGTGTCTGTATTATTGTCTTTGTCAGAAGTTCATGGGAAATGAAGATTGGAGTAGGCAAGTTGGAAGGAGGGTCTCGGCGGTTTTCAATTCCCAGCTGTCTTATTTATTTCTAAGCAAATTAGTCGTTGAAATGAGGTATCAATTCACCCATCCTGCAACTTGTGAATTCTCAGGATAACCCATCAACATCATTTATAACTTTTCCCCTTTATTTCTACTTTATTTTTTTCTTTTTCAAAAATTTATGCACACTGCCTGTTTGTTATTATCACCGACTTATAATTTCACTCAGTAGACTTGCAACTGAACTACAAACATGCAATTTAGATGTTTTAATCTCTTTTACGAAACAAAAATAATGCAAGATTCTGAGATTTGGGTTGGTTAAAAGTTTTGATTCCTTGCTGTTTTGATAGATTTTTATACGAGCACCGATTAAAGTATCAGAATTTTGATAGTGACACTGCCAGTACTTTAGTTGCAATTGCAAATGTTCTTATACTTTTATAGCGTTTTCTGCAGTTATTATGAAGATTTAAGAGTTGAAAATCGGGGAAATATTGGGTAATCATTTTCAACGTAATTAAAATATTAGAAATCAGAGATTTTTATATGAAACCTTGGTATCTGGGTTTGAACATTTCTGTTTTTTATGTTACCGGAAGTATTTTTTGGATGGTTGTTTGCTAATTATGGCTAGCATCCAAAATTCTTATGTTTATTGTTTTATGTTTGAATGATGCTTTTTTTAAATAAAAAAATTCACATAAAATTATTGATATTTATGTTTGAATCAATTTCCCTAAATCCCAAACTGAAAACACAAACTTAAATATCCATGAAACTTTAAAATCACTGAAATTGCTACTTGTAGTTTTTAGTCTTTCACTTGATTTTTTGTTCTGTTTTGAACTTAAAAGGATAGCCTTTAGAATTATTACCGCTTAGGTTTAAACTGTTGAGTGCATATGTAAATTTAGGTGATTCTTCTTGCCAATCAACGAACAAAGAAAAGCCCTAATTAACATTGAAAAAAAAGTTTGCTGTAATTTAACAAAATGAGGTAACTTTCACGTGGGCCTGTGCTGTTAGAACTTTTGTTGTCAAATAGGCTTGTTCAAATTAGAAATAGCAACTTGATTTACTTTTCTGGATTTTTCTTTTATTTGGATTTTGCAGTGTCCCTTTCATACATTTCACAATAAAAAAACCCTAATTATCTAAGTGTTGAATTCACCGCGCATTAATTTCTATCTGTTAATGATTTGAAATTGCCATTTACGGTTTTAAGATATTTCTGATGTCTAACAGAATTTTGTTGCCTTTTCATTCATCAGTAGGTCAGCAATTTACAAGAGGCCATTTTTTGAATGGTGGAGCAAATCATTATTGAATTCTTCAGATACTCCACCGGTGCCTTCTGAATTTTGTTGGACTTTATCTCTGGTTAAACTTGCTTGGCCTTTTTTGGGTCTATTTACACTCTTTTGCACGGTATCTCTGCTTCTCCATAATTTAAGTACTCCATTAGATCTGTTGTTAGTGAAGCCGACTATTGAAATTACCAAGAAAGTATTGTCGAAAATCCATGGTATGGATTACGGACTATCCTAATTTGGCAGTTTAGTGGAATATATTTCTTTCTTCCTGGTATCTTGGTAGCGAATTCACACTAGACTAGATGACTGCGGATGAAGCCGGAAACAGATCTGAGTGGACTAGGGAGCAAGATAAGGCATTCGAGAATGCCCTTGCTACTTATCCCGAGGACTCTTTGGATCGGTGGAAAAAAATTGCAGCTGATGTACCCGGGAAAACTTTGGAAGAGATTAAAGAACACTATGAGCTTCTGGAGGATGATGTTAACCGGATTGTATCTGGTTGTGTGCCTCTCCCACCATATAATTCTTCTTCCGAGGGTTCAGCCGGCCATGCTGGTGATGAAGGAACTGGTAAGAAGGGAAGCAACCATCTAGGGCATTGTAACAATGATTCAAATCATGGGAGTAAAAATTCAAAGTCGGACCACGAACGCCGCAAGGGAATTGCTTGGACGGAGGATGAACACAGGTGAATTAGGTGTTGTGGTTTAATTTTATTTATTTATTTTCTGTTTTCATTTGGATTAACTATGCATCTTTAGAAGTATCTTGATAAGTTTTATTTTGCACCTTCTTAACTTTGATACTTCTTTTTTCTCTTTATATTTAGTAATTACTTTCATTTGTTAAGGTTTGATTGCCTTGGAATCTCACATCCTATTCATATTTAGAATCTTTGATTTTTATTTGATAAGAGAGTTTCCAAGATTGCTTTCAACCAGTGAAAAGTGTCTGATGATTACTGTTAGCTAGTTGTTAGGAAGTTCAGATCTTCTACATGGCTTTCTTATTAAGGTTCTCCTGCTGTGCTTTACTGCAAAGATATTTGATGTCTGTGGGGGTCAGTAGATGAATAATATATCCTGAAATGATGTGAAAACAACTGAAGGGGAAAGGGAATTACAGTGTAACCATGTGGAAGAGAGATCTTGCTGGTGGTTGCCGCTTGTTCATTTTATTTTTCCTGAAAACTCGCACAGTAAAATAGAAAAAATATACGAACTTCAAACGTCACCTGTATGATACAGGTGGCCGTTATCTATGGATTAACTTTAGCTTTGTCTAACATGGGTGAAACCACCATGGTAGCCATTCTTTTTTGACCTTGTTTCCTACGTCTCATATTAAAGTTGGGTGAGGGGGAATGTTAAGTGATATTATCCCATATTTGTTATATGGTCTTGTAGTAAAGTTGGACCCTCCACCTACAGACAATTGATTTACGATTGGATGCTTAGCAGTCCTAAAGGCTAAAATTGGCATTTAGGATTTGATTGCTTTCGACTGGTATGTCTCTCTCATGTTCAACTTTTTTTTTTTTTGCATAACAGTTTATGGTTTCATTATTAATTTTTTTGCCAAATTTGATTCTGACATGGAAGGAAAGCAATAACTCAAGGGTTATGGTAGAGAATTAACTTCTCATCATGCTGCCGTATAAGAAAAAGAATTTGTGAAAATAATACTAACCTATGCCTTTCCAAGTAAAAACTATTTGACATGGTCCAGTTTGTATCAAATTTAATTATTTAGGCTGTTTTTAGCTTCAATGTCCATTAAACGACTGTCTACCTGAATTATGCCTTAGATCAGTAAGGATTTCGATTATATTTGGATGGTTCCTGTGTACAATATCTGGAAAGTTCGTCAAGGGTATGAATTCTATTTTGTTTGGATCATTAGGTTACTAATTAGTAAGAGTTAGTATAGCATAACTGCATAAAGTCTGCCAATTTTGCATCATACTAATGATGACTTTCTATATATTAGAGATATCAGTTCGGCCCTCTTTCTCCCTTGATTTTTCAAAGTTTTGCATTATATTTTCTCATTTAACAAGATAAATCATGTAAAATTAAGTCAAATAACAATTTCAGTTCCCAATGAAAACACATGGATGAATGTTGATCTAGCTGGTTACACACTAATGTGCAGATGTCTTCACCAAGCTATGTAACAAATGTAACTTAACCTTTTTACTTCAATTCTAGTTTTTCTTTCGAGGTTAGAAATGTCGAAGAAAATTAATGAGTTTCTACTTTAGATTTCTTATGAACTTCAGGAAAAGGTTAAATGGCTTAAATTGGGTATGTTTTAGATATAAAACTTATTGATTTAGAGCTCGGGAGTTGATAAATCTGTTTGTGTATTTGTGATACATTATACCTGTAAGCGTTCACAACTATGAGGATTTCATTCTCTATCTGCTTAAGCTTTATCTAGACTTTCTTTCAATTTAGTCCAAGTGAATTTTGTATTCACTAAAAACATATTTTGCTGTGCCAAAATTTGACCGTCATTGCACAACAATGGACTGTGTAGATAATCAGAATACTTGAAAAGACAAGTAGCAAAGGGTGTTAAGACAGTTCTTTATTTTTTGGATGTTTTAGTATCCTTTCTCTAGATGAATTAGTATCCCTGAATATAATTGTTGCAGAACATTTTTTATCTTTATTCTGGTCTATAGTGCTTTCTACCACACTAGAAGAAATGTCCATAAGCAGAATCTGTAGTTTGTTTAGGGCTTATCATTTTAAACTTTTAAAGGTATGTTTAGTCACTCTGTCCTTTTTATCTTAAAAAACAGGTTATTTCTTCTTGGTTTGGAAAAACATGGGAAAGGTGACTGGCGAAGCATATCTCGGAACTTTGTGGTCACAAGAACACCAACACAAGTTGCAAGTCATGCACAAAAATATTTCATTCGATTGAACTCCATGAACAAAGATAGGAGGCGATCTAGCATCCACGATATTACCAGTGTAGGCAACGGAGTCATTTCAGCACCCCAAGGACCGATCACTGGCCAACCAAATGGTGCAGCAGCCAGAGTTTCATCGGGAAAGTCAGCCAAACAGCCATCTCAACATCCCGCTTCACCACCTGCTGTTGGCATAAATGGTACTCCAACTATAGGGCAACCAGTAGGAGGTCCCCTCGTCTCTGCAGTTGGCAGGCCAGTGAATCTTCCTGCCTCAGCACATATGGGTTACGGAGTCACAGTTCCTGGTGCACCGATGAACATGAGTCCTGCAACATACCCAATGCCGCATACAACTGCTCATAGGTAATACAATGTTTAGCTGCCAAATAGATAAAAGGATAGAAGCCCGCTTGTGCGGGTATTGGGTGACTAGATTTTCCATTTTAGCCTGAATAAGATATGCTTATTTGCAAGCACAGGTTGTATCTGAATTTGTTTAGTCTCTAAATAAGTCATAGGGAGAGGATTTACATGTATCTATATGTAGGCAAATGTTAAATGTGGCAGATGTATGGGTAGGGCAGATTTTTGCAACTATTTTTTCTTCCCTTTTGTATTGCAACCATTAGCATTAGAACTAGTCAATGCTTGGAGACTGCATGGCATAAGTTGTAAAAAGAAACCCCATATATATTTTGCTAGTAAGAGAAGCATATATATGTGTGTGTGTCTATATATTACAAGAACATGTCAGGACAATGAGCTTTTTCAGTTCTGAGTTTCTGGTTACAGTTGAAATTCTAATGAAAAGTTACAATATACTTGGAAACAACAACTTTATTGAATTCATTTAAAGATTCAGGATTTAGGTTCCTAGTGCCATATTGCCATGTAGGGAATGTCCCTGATGTGGCAGTTTTACTGTTGCAAAGAGCATTAAAATACAGAGCCATGGCATGGTACATTTTCCTTGAATTCCATTCTTTCTTGTGTTGCTTTTATGTTAAGCAAAAGCTTTATATTATCATAGTCTTGCTTGCTGATTTGAGCATTGGAAAAGCAGGTGAGGTGAGGCTAAAAAATCTTTAATCTGCATGGCCTACTGCCCATTCATTTCCAGGATTTCAAATTAAAGAATTTTTAATTGTATTCCAGTTAAGCATAAGAACACTGCCTTCTTTTTCTTTGACCAATGGAACCTAGTTCATCCCCTTTTCCCTTTAAACTCTTGTTTCCTTACATTTAGAAAGCTCAATGAATTCGCTTTACTTCAGTTGGTTCATTTGAGCACTATAAAGAGCGAAGCAAATGAATGATTGCTTACCAATTTTTTGGCATTAAAAAAGTAAAGTAGAAATAATATGAAATGCCAACACTTACAAATGTATTAAAAAAGAATTCCAAGTTAAAATAATGCCCAAGAACTTTGGAGAGAGCTACTAGTGCTCCCTTTACATGTGTAAATTACGTCGTTTTTTATAGGTGTTTAAATTATTTTTTGGTCAATACATGTATCTAGCATCATAAACATTATCATTTTAATTTTTAAGTGTCCCGATTATAACGATCGCTAAAAAAATCCATTAAGTGAAACGTATAATATTTATATATTTTTTTAATTTTTTATTTAAAAATAGAAAAAAAAGAACAATTCCCCTTCCTCGTGCCTCCCCATATCCTCTTCCCCCACCAGTTCTCGGTCGTCTCTCTCCCTTCCTTCCCTGAAAAAAAAGCAGCTCTCTCTCCACCCAATAATTTTAGGGTTAAGGATTTAGGATCCAATCCATTAATTTTATGGTTAAGGATTTAGGGATTTATGAATTTAGGGAGTTGGGATGACGAAAAAGATGATGGGCAGTTAGTGGGTGGATGGCGACGGAGACTATGGCCGGAGATGGCTGGCAATGACTGAAAGTAAGGATTTAAATTAGGGATTTTAGGATTTTGGGGTTTTATTAGAATTTTTAATGAAAATTTGAATTTTCTTTTGAAATTTTTAAGTTTTTTAAATAAAAAATTTATAAAAATATAAACGTGACGCATGTCATTTAACGAATTTTTTTAACAACGATTACAACCGAAACACTTAAAATGGTGATATTTTAAAAATAAAAGAAGCTGGTCATGGACATAGATGACATTATCTCAATATTTCCTCAGCATTACCAAGTGTGAATTCATTTCACTCTCGTTATTGTCTATTATCACTCATCCAACGGTTTTAAAAAATTGTAAAATTAAAAAGTTTTACGTGAATTGATCCTGCATCTCTCTATATATTCAGATTCATTGGAGGTTATTTCTTGAAGATAATCACATGAACCTACTGAATTCAAGTTTCCACCTCGGATTATTAAGCAAGTTGCATGCATTATCATATCTTTTAGTATGTGATTTGTGTTGGTTGAGTTGAATCTTTCCTTGCTTTTTTTCTTTCTTAGTACCTTAGCAGCAAAGGAGCGGCAGACCTCAAAAATCTACAATGCCAACTCAGAAAGTTTCAAAACCACATCTTAGAGAAAAAGCAACTTTAAAAGGTTGTCTCAACCATACAGGGTATTGCTTTTATTTTTCATGAACTACACTCTGTCCATTTGCAGAAACTATGCTTTTTCCCATGGATTTCCTGGAAAGTTAATTAATTTAAACCAAATTAAATTAGTTCCTTTGCTGCTTCTTCAATCTTTCAGGTGGTTTGACAGATTCTAATAGCTTGATTCTACTATGGGTGTTTTCTAGCTATTCTTGTTCGATACACTAAGCATATGAACATAAAGAAAGTTGAATATACTCGTATCGGATTAAGAATTTGAACCATTTTCTTAAAAGAAACCAAATCTTCTTATAAATTTTTATCTTTTTGAAGTGATGAGCTATTGCGTATTGGTGACTCATGCAGCAAAAAAGTTGGATTCAACTTCCACAGCTGTATCCCCCTTTAAATACATACCATTTGCAAGAAAACAAGATTCAACACAACCTGAAGAAACATTCGATTCAACAGTTTGTGGCCATTGAATTCCATTCCATTCATGAAAAAAAGGACAATGAAGAATCAGCTGCTTCAACAAGTTATTGGAGTTCCAATCAAAGCAGAAACATTTGGAGTTGAGAGAGCATCAAGGCTATGCTTACCTGATGCTACTGGCCAATACCACATTTCATCACTAGGCTCTACAAAAAGTAGATCTACCCCTTCAATTTTTACTAATGGTAGATAAGGGAAATTCATGGTAAAGTTGTTTCCTTTTCTAATTGGAAAGTGTTTGACATTGCAGGCAAACGAAACTTTGTATTTAAAAGGATGAACTGGCTAGGGAAGAAAGCTGACACTTTCTGTAACACCCCCAACCCGTATCCGATCCGGATACGAGTCCGAAGTGTCACATTGACTTTTCAAACATTTATTCGTATAAAATAGTGAGTAATTTAAAAACTTTGATAACATTTAACTTATTCAAAACATTTACGAAATATATATCAGAGTTCATACAATTTATGTCTTTAGACTACATGCCAACTACACTCTATATACATTACATATATTTTCTGATCTGACATTTGGTAAGGAAAACTGACCTGTCTTGCTCCGCATTACTCTTTACTCTTCTCGAAACCTACGTGTGAAACAATCACACGCTAAGTCGAAGACTTAGTGAGGCATAACGACTTATAATGCACTTCATAACATATATCAATACATGCATGTTCTGTTCTATCATGTTATACTAATTCCATGCATTCTTCGTATCATATAAAATCATATCAGATTAATTACAGTAAATACATACATACACATAATTCATCATTAACAGTTTATCATGTAATCACATACTTTTATTGTTAACCTTTTCAATCAAACACTGTACACACACAACATCATATGGTTCACGTAACACATTTCAAACCACTTATAAACCCATCGTATACATATCACATTCAGTATGCTTGTTTAATCACTTTATTAGCCCATGTACACTAGTAAGAACTTAAGGTATGTGAGTACATTGAGGTTGTGCACACATATGCTGTCACCACAGCTCGATCAATGTCCCGAAGGACCAGTCCATAGATTTCGAAGAACCTAGGTAATCAGTCCATATGTCCCGAAGGACATAGGTAAACAGTCCATATGTCCCGAAGAACATAGGTAAACAGTCCATATGTCCCGAAGAACATAGGTAAACCCTCGACCCTTGGCATGCCAACTATACCCCTAGCTCTCATATCAATAACATGGGCATTATCATTTATAACAGTTCACATTACTTATTCATATGCTTTCTCTTATAAACACATATCTTTTCTTTTCAGTCACGTATCACATGTACGTGTAATCATTGATCTCATAATCACATGTTCCTTCTTTTCTGTCACATACCACATGTATGTGTAAACATATATCTAATATCATATGTTGCATGTAATCACATAGATCTTATCTCATAACATATACTTGTTTTTACATATATATTTCATATCATTTCTTATACCATCACATAATCCATTTAACATACATAACATATCATGTAACATTATAATAGAAATACCTATAAGTCATATCACTTAGAGCACATAAAAGAACATATCAATTCATATAATCAAGCATACATACATGCATATTCAACTCATGCCTTTAATCATGAATTCATGTGTAACACTTCAGGAAATAGACTCATCGCAAGTCTTATTTCCATCGCACATCATATACTATTGAATATGCACTCACCTGGCCTCACTAGTCAATTCCAATCTCTTATCTTTCCCCTTGATCGATCTTACTTGTCAATGATTCCGGAACTTGGTTAGGCTCTGAATCTACATAATTATACATTTTAAGACAATCATTAGATACCTACACCTTGTAATTGGATACTAGCAACTTAAACGAGCTTATTAAACCAATATGCACATTTTTCCTTTAGGGGGAATCGGTTCCCTACTAAGGGTGTATCGATTCCCTAATGACATTCTGGAAATGTTGTTCGTTTGAAGGGGTATCGGTTCCCCTTGAATGGGTACCGATTCCCCTTGCCCAGAAATCATATTTTCAACCCGAAAATTACTTCATTTCCACTCAAACACTTCATATATCATCCCCTTTTCATTCTTAACTCTAGTACACATACTTAAACCAATCTATATTCATTTATTTCATCTTAAACCTCAAAATCCTATCTTCCATATGAGATTCAAAAATCATACCAAATTTTCAATGTGTTCTAATTCCAATTCTAACACTTCATACTTCTTAATTAGATTTATGACAAGTCAAATTCATCCATAAAACTTCAACAACCATACCATATCAAAATTTCATCTTAAAACTCATATTGCAAATTCCTTCACAATTCCTTTATCTTATTGTTTAAATCACATATAAGCTTTCCTTAAGCTTATTTAATACCCAAAGAATCAAAACCAAACTTAAAATTCAAATAATAATCAACTAATAAAACTCTCACCTTTGCCTTGCTCTCCCACGTATGAAGAAGAAGAAAGGAGAAGAGAACTCTGGATGTTTCTCCAAATTCCCACGTTTATACTACCTTAAAAAGAAATATAAAAATCTTTCTGGTCAAATGACCATTTAACCCTTAATTTCCTTTAATAATTACTAAATAACCTTCAATATATATTCAAATAATCATTGAACTATTTCATTCTTCTACTTTAGTCATCAAATTCTGAAACTTTACAATTTGATCACTAACCCGGTATTGAGGATGTTACAAATCTCCCCTTCTTATAAGAAAATTCGTCCTCGAATTTTCACTGCACATCTTAATAGGAACATATCTTCTAATGTTCTTATGTTGCTTCCCTGACTTATTCTTTCTTGTCATCATCAGAAACTTACTTTTTAATCCTTTAGTTTTCCGACTATCTTTTTCGTTTATACCTTCATCTTCTGTTGTTTATCATATAAACAATAACCAGTAATACCAATCCATTGTTGTCTTTTCTCTCATTCGATTATGCATTTTTCCTTTGACCTTTCTAAAATTCCATATAATGTCACTCATCACGTTGATAGTAACATTCATCTCATCACTCTATATCAAAACTGTCCTCTGTACTTCCATATTTATCGTATCTGATTCTTTTAAATCAATCCCTTTCATTTCTTTACTCCTTATTCCTTATACATAAATCATATATTTCCTTTCATATTCACATACTCTTGTCTTATCACTTATACTCATCTTTATGTACCAATCTTCATTGCATCCTCATTACTCTGATAACCCATTTCTTATACATAACTTCATTCTTTATCATTTCTTATACTTGTATTTTCCTTCCTAAAGGTTCCATGCAAATACTTATCTCTGTTTCTACATCATAGCTATCTGCTCAGAATATACAACTATATTCAAATTCACATCATAATCAATTAACTCCACTATATCTTTCCTCCAATCTTATAACTCTAGCACCTTTACTCTGACAGCTAGATAATAACTTTTGTTCAGTCTAGGGCACAATCCCTCTTATACCAATCATATACATTCTTTCCAATCTAAATTATCTCAACATTCGCTTACTCAACTTATCAATTTCACCTCTATTCTCATACATCCTGAAAATTCGTTTACTCAAACTCAACATTCTGACTTCCTGTGTCCTATAATCTGATAATCGATATACATATTCTCAAACTCTTCTTATCAATCCTCAGCTTTACTTAAATATACAAATTCTTACTTCCTTTTCCTTTACTATACCACATTACTATGATCCAAATATGCAACTGTATCCAGATCCATTGCGGATTTGGTTATCATATCCTGACAATATCTTAAAATCTTATAATTCCAGTACATTTTTATCACATACTATAGTTAGCCAATGCTAACTCTTTCCATCTTAACTGCAAACCCTTATCATAAACATAATCTTGTTCATGCGCAATAATATCACTTCGTTTCAAACTCATAAGCTCTGACTTTATACATCTTATACACTTGTCACTGATGCACTTATCCTTGAGTTCTTCTATACGTACTCATCACGGCATTAGATCTTTTTAACATTCTTATGGTGACACCTGTTCACCATATTCTATCTTATCCACATAATAACAAAACTACTCTATATCGTGTTTCCGATTTCAAACGATGAAAACTTTCTATCATTATTCAGATATAATTTCAGCTTTCTGAAATCAACTTTTGATCTTACTAGGCATTTCCTGAGGTGTCCGCTCTTCATCCTGCCTGGCCAGGGCAGGTGAATAGCTATCACAATCAGGAATATCACCTTTCACTTACTTCAAAATTATCACGATCGGATTTTCTACTGTATTAAACTATTCTTATTCTATTAGCAAGACAACATATTCCTTACACTATCAGATCAGAAATTTTTCAATCTATGTTGGCATGGACACCTTTTATGACACTTTGGACTTCGGTTTATGCCGAGAATCGGCTAAACCTTAGCTCTGATACCATTAAATGTAACACCCCAACCCGTATCCGATCCGGATACGAGTCCGAAGTGTCACATTGACTTTTCAAACATTTATTCGTATAAAATAGTGAGTAATTTAAAAACTTTGATAACATTTAACTTATTCAAAACGTTTACGAAATATATATCAGAGTTCATACAATTTATGTCTTTAGACTACATGCCAACTACACTCTATATACAGTACATATATTTTCTGATCTGACATTTGGTAAGGAAAACTGACCTGTCTTGCTCCGCATTACTCTTTACTCTTCTCGAAACCTACGTGTGAAACAATCGTGTGAAACAATCACACGCTAAGTCGAAGACTTAGTGAGGCATAACGACTTATAATGCACTTCATAACATATATCAATACATGCATGTTCTGTTCTATCATGTTATACTAATTCCATGCATTCTTCGTATCATATAAAATCATATCAGATTAATTACAGTAAATACATACATACACATAATTCATCATTAACAGTTTATCATGTAATCACATACTTTTATTGTTAACCTTTTCAATCAAAACTGTACACACACAACATCATATGGTTCACGTAACACATTTCAAACCACTTATAAACCCATCGTATACATATCACATTCAGTATGCTTGTTTAATCACTTTATTAGCCCATGTACACTAGTGAGAACTTAAGGTATGTGAGTACATTGAGGTTGTGCACACATATGCTGTCACCACAGCTCGATCAATGTCCCGAAGGACCAGTCCATAGATTCCGAAGAACCTAGGTAATCAGTCCATATGTCCCGAAGGACATAGGTAAACAGTCCATATGTCCCGAAGAACATAGGTAAACAGTCCATATGTCCCGAAGAACATAGGTAAACCCTCGACCCTTGGCATGCCAACTATACCCCTAGCTCTCATATCACATAACATGGGCATTATCATTTATAACAGTTCACATTACTTATTCATATGCTTTCTCTTATAAACACATATATTTTCTTTTCAGTCACGTATCACATGTACGTGTAATCATTGATCTCATAATCACATGTTCCTTCTTTTCTGTCACATACCACATGTATGTGTAAACATATATCTAATATCATATGTTGCATGTAATCACATAGATCTTATCTCATAACATATACTTGTTTTCACATATATTTCATATCATTTCTTATACCATCACATAATCCATTTAACATACATAACATATCATGTAACATTATAATAGAAATACCTATAAGTCATATCACTTAGAGCACATAAAAGAACAGATCAATTCATATAATCAAGCATACATACATGCATATTCAACTCATGCCTTTAATCATGAATTCATGTGTAACACTTCAGGAAATAGACTCATCGCAAGTCTTATTTCCATCGCACATCATATACTATTGAATATGCACTCACCTGGCCTCACTAGTCAATTCCAATCTCTTATCTTTCCCCTTGATCGATCTTACTTGTCAATGATTCCGGAACTTGGTTAGGCTCTGAATCTACATAATTATACATTTTAAGACAATCATTAGATACCTACACCTTGTAATTGGATACTAGCAACTTAAACGAGCTTATTAAACCAATATGCACATTTTTCCTTTAGGGGGAATCGGTTCCCTACTAAGGGGGTATCGATTCCCTAATGACATTCTGGAAATGTTGTTCGTTTGAAGGGGTATCGGTTCCCCTTGAATGGGTACCGATTCCCCTTGCCCATAAATCATATTTTCAACCCGAAAATTACTTCATTTCCACTCAAACACTTCATATATCATCCCCTTTTCATTCTTAACTCTAGTACACATACTTAAACCAATCTATATTCATTTATTTCATCTTAAACCTCAAAATCCTATCTTCCATATGAGATTCAAAAATCATACCAAATTTTCAATGTGTTCTAATTCCAATTCTAACACTTCATACTTCTTAATTAGATTGATGACAAGTCAAATTCATCCATAAAACTTCAACAACCATACCATATCAAAATTTCATCTTAAAACTCATATTGCAAATTCCTTCATAATTCCTTTATCTTATTGTTTAAATCACATATAAGCTTTCCTTAAGCTTATTTAATACCCAAAGAATCAAAACCAAACTTAAAATTCAAATAATAATCAACTAATAAAACTCTCACCTTTGCCTTGCTCTCCCACGTATGAAGAAGAAGAAAGGAGAAGAGAACTCTGGATGTTTCTCCAAATTCCCACGTTTATACTACCTTAAAAAGAAATATAAAAATCTTTCTGGTCAAATGACCATTTAACCCTTAATTTCCTTTAATAATTACTAAATAACCTTCAATATATATTCAAATAATCATTGAACTATTTCATTCTTCTACTTTAGTCATCAAATTCTGAAACTTTAAAATTTGATCACTAACCCGGTATTGAGGATGTTACACTTTCGCCCATGGGGTCCGAGAGCATGGTATGAAAACACTCGTAAATTATATTCTTCAAACATATATTATGCGGTATGTCTCTCAAGGTAAAGTTTACTTTATTGAAACTGCAGTGAGATTGGGGTCAAAGATCAGTGAAACAGTGAAGGGAAAATTGAGTTTGGGGGCAAGGATTCTTCAAGTAGGAGGCTTGGAGAAGATTTTCAAGACATTGTTTAGTTTCACAGAAGGAGAGAAGCTGTTGAAGGCTTGTCAGTGTTATTTATCAACAACAGCAGGCCCTATAGCTGGTTTACTTTTCATCTCATCTAAAAAAGTTGCCTTTTGCAGTGACAGATCAATCAAAATCCCTTGTGCAAATGGGAAATTCCTCAGAGTCCATTACAAGGTTTTGGTTCCAATTGAGAAAATAAAGGGTGTTAACCAAGGTGAAAACATGAAGAAACCATCTCAAAAGTACATGGAAATTGTGACAGTGGATGGTTTTGACATCTGGTTCATGGGATTCTTGAATTATCAGAAAGCTTTCAAGTATCTTCAACAAGCAATCTCACAGAGATTATATGATGTAGAAGTCACTTTCTAGGTGGCTTTAAGAAATGTTTTCATCAGATTGTTTTGGTGATGAAAAGAGGAAAAAGGTTATCAGTAAATCACTCTTGCAAATGTAAAAAATAAAAAAAAGGTTGTTCTAAATTTGATATATGTATCTATGCAGGCAAATGTTAATTGTGGCAGATTTTTAGGTAGGGCAGTATTTTTCAACTTTTTTTCTTTCTTCCATTTTCTATTGCAACCATTAGCATTGGAAGTAAGCAATGCTTAGCAATTGTATGGCATAAGCTGTAAAAAGAACCCCTTAACACATTTTGCTAATAAGAGCATTTGTCCTGTTTTTTTAATAGTTGAAATTGTGATGAACAGTGACATTCTTACTTGGAAATCCACCACTAAAAATGGACTTGAAGTGCAGCAGCAGGTGTAACTTCTGTTTTACAATACCGTTAGCACCAAAGCTGCCATTTACACTGACATATTAAAAAGCCTTAATTGCAAAAATAATTTCTCTTCTTATTGACATTGTTAGAATTCTAGTCCTTTGAGAACGAATTTCACGAGGAGATATTAAGACTATAGACTTGAAGCTCGTATAGTCATATTGACTCAATTGGCATTGCTGGGAAAGGTTTCATGCTGTTGATGCTGATAATCTTCCAAGCGCTTGAAAATAAATAGAGAAAGTTGTTAATGCATTTATGAACCAATGCACATATCAACTCCAGATTGTGATTGAAGACAAGAAAGGTGATAAGAGTGTTGATAAAAAGTACTGAACAGAACTGGGAAACCTTTTCTTCTCAACTGTTTCCATGAAAATTTCTTCTCAACTGTTTCCATGAAAATTTCTCATACAACCAAGGATGGACAAAGGGGGCTTACGGTGGCAATCACCTTATTGGTCATCCCTGCTCCTAATGCAATCGTGCCATTAGGAAAATGCCCCTGATGTGGCCATGATGTGGCAGTTTTAGTGCTGCAAAGAGCATTAAAGTACAAAGTCATTCCATGGTATGTTTTCCTTGAATTCCCTTCATTCTTTTGTTGCTTTTATGTTAAGCAAAAGCTACATTATATCATAGTCTTGGTTGCTGGTTTAGGCATTGGAAAATCAGGTGAGTTGGGGCCAAAGAATCTTTAACCTGCATGGCCTACTGCCCCATTGATTTCCATTTAAGCATATGAACATTGGCCTCTTTTTCTTTGACCAAAATAGACGTGCTTCATCCCCTTTTCAAAAGAGGATTTCTTTGTGGATGGCTCCTTTATCATCCCTTTTCATCACTTTTAGATGCTTCTGAGTTTTCAAAGACCCATTGACTGAGAGGAAAACAAAAGGAAAGAATTGAAGATTTTCATAACTGAAATATGTCCGGACAAGGTTCACATATGGTGGGACTTAAAACTAGAATAATTATATTTACACGTGATGAAACTCGAGTCCATTACAAGGTTTTGATTCCACTTGAGAAGATAAAAGGGGCTAACCAAAGTGAAAACATGAAGAAACCATCTCAAAAGTATGTGGAAATTGTGACAGTGGATGGTTTTGATACCTGGTTCATGGAATTCTTGAATTACCAGAAAGCTTCCAAGTATCTTCAACAAGTAATCTCACATAGACTCGATGAAGAAGTCATTTTCTAGGTGGATTTTAGAAATGTGTTTCATCAGATTGTTTTGTTGATGAAATGAGGAAAAGGGTAATCAGTAAATCACTCTTGCAAATGTAAAAAAAATGTTGTTCTAAATCGAATATACCATTCTGAATCGAACGCAGAGTATTAAAACTTGACTTTATTCACCAATCTCTATCCAATTACAAGATTTGTGAGTCAACGAACTGTAGGCTTTTCCTTTTTGGAAAGAACAAATAGAAAGAATGTGGTTTTGGTCAGTGCTTCAATGTACTTATGAATGTTTGCAACAAGTGAGCACACAGTCCTCCAAAAAATGGCTGAGCTGACTTGTATACAGATTTGGGTCATTTCTAAAATGATCAACATGTGGTGTCGAGACAAAGTTGCATGCCCGAACTTCGCGCCCCGATCTCTTTTGCTTCTCTATGAACGATTCCACGGAATCTGCAGGGATGACTCTATCTGCAGAGCTGTAAATATATAGTTGTGGGCAGGTAGGTTGTCCGTATGACAGTAATCCCAGCACATCAGAAAGCCTCCTGCAAGGTGATATGAGATCAAGTTATGCCGGGTTAATAAGCATCGGGATGACTTCTGGTTGCAATCATAAATCACATTGGAGATTGCATTAAAGCATAGAGAACACATACATCATGCATGGAAATCTTGAAAAAGATGTAGCAAAGAAAGCTTTTCGATGAATCAAACATCGAGTAGTCCATCATATCGTCTAAAAAGACCGTTCATTACCTTTTAACACCAGGAAGATTCAAAACCACATCAAAGAACTTCTCCAGGACTAGTAGCAAAGCAGCTTCAGTTACTGCAGGCTGGGGTTGTGAGACTTCACTTTTGCCAACTGATGCCCCCATATCCGATTCACTTGAGCTTGCAAATCCTTTTGTCGCAACGCTATGTTTCTTGAGAAAAGCGGCCGAGAAACCCGAAGCCCAGACCTGCAAATACAATACAAAAACGATTCATTAAGCATTTCCATTGTTGTTGATCAAATCAATTACTATGTGAAACACCCTTAAAGCATCATTTACCTGTGGGTCAGGAGCAGCAACAGGGGCTGAATCCACAATGCAACCTCTGATCCTTTCCATTAAGGAAGGATCTTCCTTTTGGAACTTCTCAAGAATGGCTCCATACCTGCAACAAGACGAAACCCGGAATTCGGTTCAGATAATTAGTGCAAACAATAAAAGCAAAAAATTGTTCTTCATGCATATATGTGCACAAATGTAGTGAGAACACACATTAACCATCCGGTATTGCTAAAAGTATGAAAAACCAGGTTTTTCCCCTGCTCCTCTTCCAACCAATCCGCTAAGTGATGAACGAGCATGTCGACATTCTGCTCGGCTTTGCCACCGGCTTGGTAACCGATAATGTCAACCATTGGAAGGGTGAAAGTAATGACATGATATCCCCTCGAAGTATACCAATCTGAATATCTTTTGAGATGTTTCTGCTTGGATCCTAACCATCCTAACAAGACGACAACCGTCCGGGACTTTGCCGATGAACAATCCGATGTCCCGGTCATATCAATCGCAGTCGGCTCGGGCAAATGCCATCTATACAGAACATCAGGCACCGGGGCAGGGATAGGGACACTCCCTGGAAATGCAGCAGCAGGCTTAGATGCTTTATCCAACTCTGCCGACTGATATAAATTCATCATTAAAGGGGATGAAGCAATAGAAGAACATATCTGGTCGGGAACGAAACTCCGGCCGGAAATGTTAACCGGAGAGTAAAAGCTAGGTAACGGTACGTGAATTCTAGTAACGAAAGACAGGTTGGGAAGCTTGGAAGCTGATATAAGAGCAACCAATGATGAAGTTGACTCTGGTAAGACACTAGATGTTGAAGTTCCTATTTGTTCGATTGAAGGAGATGGGAGTTTAGCAGAGAAATCAGCAGAAACAGAAGCCATTGCAACGGCAACGGCTGCCATTAGAGGACGTTGAATGACTCCAGACAAGGAACCCATATTGCACAACCAGAAGAGAAACAATCCTCAAATGGACACGTTTGGTCTCAAATAATCAACTCCCAGAAAGCCAAAAGAAGATTTCACACACGTTATCAACGAGAATCACCTGCAAAAAAGATAAGAGAATTCAACTGTGACGCTACGAAAAATACAAGCAAGCCAAGGTTGACATATTCTGTTGTCAAAGCTTTATAACATTCAAAGATGGAGTTTGACAACCAGACCAGTTGTTGTATAGACAACACAAATGACAGCCCCCGTTGACCAAGAACCTGTCAGGCTGTCGCTAAACTAAAAAAGGAAAATTAAACAAAACAACAACAAGGAACTTAAAAGTGTGAAGAAAAAATAAAATAAAAAAATTCTTTTAAAAACGGTACATGTTTCATCTTTTAAAAGAATTTAACTATTAATAATTTTATTGTCTCTATTCCAAATTAAACGTAATATCAATATAAACGTAGAAATTAAAAAAACTAATCTGATATATTATTTTACGAACTCTGAATATATCAATAAAGATTAGACAGACTTTTAAAATAATAATATATAATGACAGGACACGTTTTCCTTAGTCTAAGCCTTCATGCTTGAAGAACATGACAGTGATTGATGAATACATGCTGACCAAATCATTCCTATGATTTAGGAGCCCCAAGAGGGTGATCTGTAATGACGGGTTTGACCCATTTAACTTTTTTTTTTTCTCTCTGTTACCCATATTACAATAGGATTAGAAAGGAAGACCCGTAAAAGCGAGTAGGAAGTGAGTCAACTCGACCACGGCTCTGGTGGAAGAACACGGTAAACAAAGAAAACGAAAACGAATTCACTGAAAATAATCAAATTTGAATCAATGGAACCCAAAGGCCAATGGAAAAACGAAACCCCAATTCAGAAAAAACGAAAGAGGAGACCATAAACAACACAAATATTGATTCTGGGTTGATACTTGAAGAAGAAGAAGTCACCTGACGAATGAACTGAACTGAAGATGAAAGTAAAACAGTAAAAGGGTCTCCTTTCCTTCCTCTCCTTGCCTGCAATTTTCTGGGTTGTTTTGCTTCATTTCTCTCTCGTCTATCTGTTTATATAGACATTTAAACTCTTGCGGATGAATAACATTAACTTATCTGAGAATTGTCTACCCTGCACGCTAATATATATATTAAATTGTACTACCAATTTAAGCTTGGTTACCATGAATAGTGATATATACTCTTTTTGCTGAATAATACTGCAAATGTTTTAATTTTAAAACTAAGATTTCAAAACTTTTAGAAAACATGATATTTTCCTGCATGCAAAACTCAAATTGAAAAATTGGTTTCATTTTTTTTACAAAATATAGTTTTAAAATTTTCCATGTACTGCACGTTACATGAAGGTTAATCAAGTTACAATCTTTAAGGAACAAGAAATCAAGGGAAAATAAGACGGAGAAGGGAGAGAAAATAATTAAAAAAACATTAAAGATAAATTTATTAAATGATAAATTGTGTATTTAGTTATCAACTATCATTTTAATTATATATTGATATTTTTTTTTTCAAATCATCATTAACATCTTATTTTGATTTCGATATTAACATTCCTTGTAACATATATTTATAACATAGTTGCTCGAACTTAGATGTTTTAGAAAAAATAATATTTATTTTACTATTAAGAATATTAAATCTGAAAGTTATTGGGAGGTTGGTTGTAAGTCTCATTATAGCTGGATTTTAAACAAATTACTGAGGTTACGGGATGATGCGAGTAGACTGTTTTCTTCTGGTGCTAATTTGAGCCTGATAAAAAGCAAGTGGATTTGGGACAACATTAGAATTAGCATGGAGAAGGTGAGTTGGCACAAGATCATTTGGTTCCCTTCCCACATACCTAAATTTTCCTTAATTTCGTGGATGGCCATTCTCGATAGGCTGCCAACTAGAGACTGGTTTATTCGTTTTGATGTGGTTAATGATGATGCTTGTGTTATTTGTGGTTCTGGTATGGAATCACGCGACCATTTATTTGCAGATTGCTTTTATGCTAGGAATGTTTGGAATGTTGTCCTGGGGCTATGTGGGATTCGTAGTATTGCTGATAGTTGGGACCAGCGCCTTAACTGGCTGGTTGTAAGTCTGAAGGGTAAATCGCTTCGAACAAGAATTTTAAAGTTGGCCTGGACTGGTTTTCTATATCATGTGTGGGAAGAACGCAATTTCAAGTTTTTTAGGAGTATTTCGCGATCAAGTGAGGATACTGTAAAAAGAATTAAGGAAGCAGTGAAAATTAAATTGTATAGCCTTAGTTTACACATTATAGATGATGGTAATAAGGAATTGTACATAAACTGGGAATTGATATAGTTTGAGATTTGCATTTTCTTTGAATGAAATATAATTTACTTATCTAAAAAAAAAAAAGAATATTAAATGAGTTCATCGTTATTTATTATTATTATTTTTTTAATTATTCCTATCTATGAGGGAGAAGAGGAGGCGCAAATCCCATTAAAACAAATTTTTTAAAAGATTTAACTCATTTTTATCGCGTCCTCTGCTTTCCTCCCAATTAGAAATGCATATGGTCGGATAAAAAATTGATCTGGATCGGATAAAAATTGATCTGGTTTTTTCATTTAGTTAAAAAATCGGATTTTAAAAAAATTGGTTCGGATTCTAATCGGTTTGAAAGGCTAGATGGTGTAACCGGTTTCGGTTTGAAAAAAACCAGTTTTTAATCCGGTAAAAAATCTGGTCGTCCAATTTTTTAAACCCCATACCAGATTTTTTTCCAGATAAAAAACCAATTTTTATCCGGTTTTTAATCCAATCGTCCAATTTTTTCCCAAACGGATTATACTATCCGGTTTTAAAATATCCGATTCGGTTTTAAATAAACCGATTTTTCCCAAATCCGATTTCAGATATTTTTTTACGCAAAATCGAATATTCGAATTTTTTATACACATCTACTCCCAACATGCGCAAATCTCTACTCCTTTTCTTTTTCCACGTCATCCACCTTCCCCAGTCTAAATCATCCTAATGTTGAGATTATTGGGATCAATTTTAGTTAAACTCCTCACCCATTCAATTGAAATCTTTATTTTAAGGCATTTTTAAAATTTAAATCTTTTTGCAATTTTAATTTTTCTTTTATAAAAATTTTCGATAATATATAAATGTAACACATGTCAGATAACAGTCATTTATAATAGTTGTTATGGTAATATACTTAAAATAATATATTTGTGACATTAATCACCTATATTAACTGATTTTTTTAAATATTTAAAGAAAGATATTATCCAAGCAATTTTTTGTATTAAGCTTATTTTAAATAATAAACTCGGCTTTTGTATAAGCGAGAGTATAAAGAAATCCGGGTTGTGGTGTGATCCAATTCGATCAATGAGCACATAAATGGAATGAACCGTGTTTTGTCGCGCCGCGCCATATCGTTTCTTGATGACATTTGTCCCTTCTAACTGCTTATCTTCAAAACTCTCTTTTCCTTCTCATCTGCTCCTGACATTTGGCTGCTCCACCAATTCCCAAACCTTCAAACCCACCACTTTCTCTATTTTCTTATTAGCCTTAAATTACATTTTTGGCCCTAAAACTTTTTTCCCACCTTTTCTCTCCCAAAAGTATTTTTTTTTTCTAGATACTAATCCATGAAAGAAATCATTCAATCACAATACAAGCTTCCACCAACAAACAAACATCACATTTTGTGGGCATAAAGATTATGGCTTTTCAATAAAAATTAATATACATATTTAAATTTATGTATGCACTTGAATCGGATGGCGTTTCCGGTGACCAAATGGCTTGTAAAAGAACACAAATACTCTCAATTTTCTATATCAAATAAGATTCCTGGTAATAGCAAACACCAGCAAACAACTATTGATCAACTAGAAAGAATAAGACAGTAAATGTATATGGTTTTCAAGTGTACCTTGTGCTGTTCCTCCTGCCCCACCACTTCTTTTTAACCTTGTCCAGTGCACCTTCTTCGCTCCCGAGTTTATTCAAGACGATTTTCGTTTCTCGTAACTTCGTCGCGTAATCTTTCTTCCAGGTTTCGAACATCTGCTTTAACCTTCTGAGTTCACGGTCTGGGTTCAGGTTTGCTTCGACCTGACCTGATTTTACTTCCACTAAGAACTTGGTATCATCGGCGAAAACTTGACTCCTCTGCTCGAATTCCTCCGCCAACCGGCTTATCACACTCAATCCTGCACCCATCGGTCTCAAACCGTTGCTCTGGGGGGGCCTGTGATTACTTCTTGTGTCCCAGCTAAACTCTCTGTCGTCGCTGGCGATAACCGATGCATCTGAATTTCTCTCGGAATCATCAACCGCTAGGCTCTTCTTAGCAATGGAGAGACTGGATTGTAGAGACCTCATTTGTTTCTGCCACACTTCTTCCATGGACTTCATTTTTTGTTCGTATTCGGACCAGCGGCTATCGTATTGTTGGAGCCGTTGGTGGAGAATGTCATTTTCCTCTTCTTTCTCCCCGAGAGCAGCCTCAGCTCTAAGAACTCGTCGCTGTAGTTCAGCGATAAATGATGACTTGACCAGCACCTCATCTGATTCATTTGCCTGTATCAAATTCTATAATCATTTCATGTCTCAAATGCAAATAATATAACATCGGTATAGCACAGAAAAAATAAGAAATGGAGATCAAAGAGCTGACGAATCGATCTGCAAATGTTTGGAAAAACAATTTTTTTTATCATTTTTTCGGCTAGATTGACCGGCCTATATTTTCCGAGCTGTATAACTGACTAATGAGTCTATATTGAACTAAGAAAAGTTTGTAAAAAAGAACATTTGGCATCATTCTATAAACAAATTATAATGGGAATGCTACTTGGAAAATTTAATAAAGAATTACATGAAAGATCGAACCATAAGTAAAGTTTATACGAGTTATATCGTAAGATGATCGTTGTACCTTAGAGGTCAATAATCCTACATTTCCAGAGCATCTTCTGACCAACCAACCACGAATAACTGCAGCATGGAGCACATATAATCATGAAATTAAACATAAAAATTTGAGCAACATAAAATGATAACATTAGTAGCGTTTGGCACCTCCATTGACCCAAATGAGAAAAAAGGTATAGTTTGGACAAATTTTTCGTACTAAGCCTTAAATAAACTGGCGTTGAAATACAGCGCCCAAGCCATTTTCAGTTCTGAGCTCAAGTTTCAAGAAAACACAGGCATTATGCGAATACTTACCTGATTGTATCACAACTGATGCATCACAAATTTCCTTGAATGTTTTCGTAGTATTCCTGCCTTTAATCTTCTTTTGTATCGTAATAGCAGCTCTATGTCTCTGCAGTAAGACGGCATATTCTTTCCTGGTTTTCTCTCCTCTGATAACTGTAGTAAGAGACGTAGAGAAAATCAGGCCTCGACAGTTTCTTACTTTGCAAAAATATGACTTCAAAGCAATGAAAAGAACAGAGAGAGGGGGGGGGGGCAATACATGACTGAAGGGTAGCAATTCCTATTTGAAGCTCCTTTAAGTGGCGGCGAGCTTGATGTCCTCTGAAGCAGCTTTGAACACGTAAAATGCCATGAAGAGTACGATTTCTAGTATCCTCAAGTGCCCCAATCTGCATTGATTATTATCAATATATAAATTTATCAAGATCAAGAAAAAAAATTAATGTAGTGAAGGTTTTCGAAGTTTTTATTATCAACAGAGACAATAAGTTATATTATACTATCTACAAAATCTCCTCGAGAACCTCAATCTCCCAGTGTGTCCTTGTTAATCAATATAAGTCAAGGTTGTGAAGTAGACAGACGTTCTTAAGCATTTTCATTGTCAATAACTAGAGAGTTGCAAGGAATGCGAGGTTGGAGATTGAGTTTGACTTGAGAGTCGTACTATAATATCAACATAATGAAACCTAACTGAAACTTAGCCGCAGCGATAACATGGGATTATTTTCCCTTTTTCGATATTCCAAGTGTCTTGTAATGTAAATTCCATGTCATCGGTGTCATTAAGTTTTTAACGGCGAGTACCAAATTGAAACCTAAACTAAACATTAGATATGATTTTGAAAAAAAATAAAGTTTAGGTACTAAAACAAAACAAAAGTGATAGTTTAGATACTAAGCATGTAGTTTACCCAATCTTTTATTATACCTGGCCAGTACGGAAAAACAATTTTGTGTAGCCAACTTGATACATCTCAGGCAAAATGTTGAACTGATGAAGAATTGCAATTGAAACACTAAGCGGATCTTGCGAGGCAACATTCTCCATTAGAAGAAAACCATACCTGAGAAAAGGTGCAAAACAAACCAAAAACACACAAAACCCAAAGAAAAAAAATGGAAAAGAATCAGATGCTTAATGATTTATGTACACACTATCAAAACTGTAAATAAAAGGGAAAAGACAATGAAAATGAAAATGGTTCTCCTTTCAACGAAGAGAGAATTTTTTCCTACTCTTTACCTTCTGGCAAACTTCTGGTGAGACATTCTCGTGGGAAAGCCAGACCGTGATATGCGAACAACTTCAAGGACTCCACAACATCTGAGTTGCTGCAAAACGAGTCCTTGCTCATATGATCCAGGAGATTGAGAGTTGTTGGGCTTTATACAACGTATGAAGTGTGGAGTAGTGCTCTCTAGACGTTGCATTAGTTGGAAAAGTTGGCCCTATATTATAGAAAGTAACACCCAGAAAGGAATGGAGGACAAATTAATTAGTCTTCAAAAATACTTCAACTCAAAATGCAATTGACATTACAACCATAAACGCTACAGTTTCTATTCTGATGAAGATATCTATCTAGTATTTTATCTGAGAACTGAAAACAATATCATAGGAACATAACGGAGAAAAAATCTAATCAAACTACCGGTTTAACGAGACACATTTTAAAACTATCCATGAGTTGCCTCCATTGAAAACAAATGGATCTCATAATTAAACAATCATCACTAGAAAAATCAAAAGAAAATATGCCAGATAGTTTTTCTTTCATGCAACCTAAAAGGTTGACATGTATGAACTTATGAATAGTTTGTTTTTAACATAATTTAACTTTTTAATTGTGTATAAAGTTTGAATAGTTGATTTCATACATATCCATCATTATGAACACAAAAAAGAAATCAAAACTATCTGAGACCCTCTATGAAATAGAAAGAGAAAATCAGTTATTAGCATGTATATATTCTTTCAACAGTTCATACTTGTTACAATTAAGGATGTCCGTACTGATACAACAGAAAATTTGATATCTGGAAATGACTTCACCTTGAATTTTGTTGCAACACTTAGCTTTTGAGAATCTGCTCCACCAGCT